ACAGGTAAGTAACACTGGCCTCCGCCAGTCTCTCTCCCACTCCACGATCTACCACCTACCAGCGCCCAGCGCTGAAGACTACAGCTACAGCTATGGCGCCCAGCACCGAAGACTACAGCTAGCGCTACTACTACTAGCGCTGAAGACTACTGCAGCGCTCCTCCTAAGTGCTGTGGCCGAAATCCTGAAGACTACCCGTGCCTACTGACACTACCTACCCGTGAAGTGCATGGGAACTTCCTATGTACTACGAGTGTGCCTCCTGAGCCTGCCGAAGGGAGGGAGGAGCTGCAGCTGCAGCTTGTGCTCACACTCGTGAGGAACACGTTATTTCTGGCCTGTTCCGCATCCCTGTTTACGTGCCTGAGTCTTAGGGGCAGCTCGAAACAATGAGGGCCTGAAAATGGCCCTCCGTTTCAGGTTGAAAACTCTGGGTCTGAAAAGACCCAGAAATAGGCTGAAACGGGGTAGGGCCTGCAGGCCCTCGTTTTTCAGCTTCCAGGCTGAAACGAATGGGCCTGTAAGCCCTAAGTTTTAGGCTTTTAGGCTGAATGTCCGGGACGGGCCCTACAGGGCCCGTGTGGCTACGCAGTATGCCACACACCCCCCTCCTTGAAGAACCGAGCTTACCTGCGAGGGCGAAGCTGTCTGTCTGAGGGAGGGACCACAGTCCGGGTGGGAGGGGCTGGTCATGAAGCTTCCTGAGCTAACCTCCGCTCTTCATAATGCGCGTAGATCAGCGGTGCAAATGCTTTCAAATCTGCGCCTGAGATCCACCGAGTGTCGTCGCGATCGCATGCTTTGAATGTGACTTTGTACTGCCGCGGCTTGCTGCCGTACTTGCGATCGGAGATGACKCGGTCAACTTCCYGATGGCCATCCATAGAAGGAGGGTCCTGCGATCGTCGGTCCGGAAAGTCGTCGCTCTTGGCTGGCGTGTATGTTGCCAGCTTCGAGGCGTGAAAGACCGGATGGACCGTCAGATGCTCTGGAATGTTGATCACAAATGAAGGGCCATCGGGCTCATCGCCCGCGGCTGCTGTCACAGACCAAGGTCCAAACCACTTGGGAAGCAGTTTGCGTGAAACATCCTGTTCCAGTGCAAACTCTTCCGCGGAGACCCAAACCAGATCACCGACGCGGATGGGACATGGTACGCGACGCCTGTTGGCTTGCTGCTGCATGCGGACTTGAGCCTTTTGCATATTTGCGCGGGCTTGAGTCAACAATTCCCTGTACTTCCGGACGGAAGCGGGAGAGCAGGCAGCGTCAATGTCGGCTGGTCGAGGGAGAAGAAGGTCTGCGAAGATCCGGCCTTTCCGTCCACCATGGTGCAACTCGAATGGAGTCACGACGATCGCCGGATGCACCGAAGTGTTGTAGGCGAACTCGATGTCGGGGAGGCGGTCAATCCAATCTTTCTGGTCCGGACGGATGAGCGTACGAAGCATCATTTGAGCRGKYTGATGTGCCCGCTCCGTCTGCCCGTCTGTSTGAGGRTGWCGAGCCGAACTTGGTTTCATTGTTGTGCCGGACTCCTGCATGAGAGCAGTCCAAAACGCCGACATGAAACGAGTGTCGCGGTCGCTGACAATGTCTTCGGGTACACCGTGGCCACAAATCCAACCAGTGTGCAGGAGGCGTGCCAGCTCGGGAGCCGTGGAGTAGTACTTGTAAGGGAGAAAACGCGCGTACTTACTCAATCGGTTCACAATCGTGACGATGTCGTCGTGCCCGAGGCGATCGTGAGGAAACGGACCGGTGACGTCCATGGCGATCGAGAGACCGGGTTCCCGTGGGATAGGCATCGGGTGTAACTCGCCGTGGGGATTGCGGTTGCGGGGCTTGCTGCGTCGGCAAACTTCGCAAGAGTCGCAATACCGAGTGACATCGGTAATGAGGTCGGGCCATCAGAATCGCTGTCGAAGCCGTGCAATAGTGCGGTTGACTCCGAAATGGCCGGCGAGTCGTGAATCGTAATACTCGCCGAGGAGGAGAGTCCGAAGACGACGGTCGCGTGGGACACATAGTAAGTCCTTGCCTCTCGAGTGGAGGAGCAAGTACCTGTCGGCAATGCGGAAATGGCTGGCCGGCGGGTGATCCGAAGATAGCTGTGCATAGAGCGTGCCGAAGTCCGGATCAGACTGATATGCCCGGATGAAGTGTCGCTGAAGCTCCTCGTCGAATGCGAAGGCATGATGTGTCATAGCTCAAAGATCTGGTCTTCGCGAGAGTGCATCTGCTGCGGGTCCTCTGAATGAGAGGTCCGCTCCGATGCCAAACTGTTGCATACTGTAACGTGCAGACCAGAACAAGAACCGACCTTTCAATACAAAGTATAAGATAGCACAACGGAAGACTTAGATACCAGTGATCCGAACAATCAATGTTGAAATGCAGCCCTGAACATACATCATCATCATCCTTACATGGTGTGAAATGGGCCTGGCGCTTCACACAGGAAGACTGCGCCAGCCCATACCATAC